AAATAAGTGTTAATATTTATTGCATTAAAATTGTTTTCAAGAAAACTGTTTACTTGTTTTCACATTTTCAAATTAACATTATAAAAATTAACGTTTTACAAAAGTGTATGAAAAAAAAAAAAAAAAAAAAAAACTAGTTATAAAATAAAGTTCATTATTTTTCATAACGATGCAAAGTTTGTTACAATTACAACTGGATCAAATGGTATGTTGTAATGAATCGAAAGGAGAGCTAAATCGAGTAGCCGGGTTTCACTTGTTGTTGACCTCAAGTATGTTTTAATGTTTGTGGCGTAGACTTGAAAAAGTTCGTTCTGCTGTCACAGTTGACACTGGAAGGGCAATCCAAATGTCTAGCATTTTTCTTTTTCGTGTTCGGATAAAATATACCATTACATCAAGAATGCAGCTGTAATGTATTTGATGGTTTTATATTTATATCTAGTTTTGACCAAGTGGTTTTCCAAAGTAAAAATTATTTTTTAACGCACTAGTGTCCGACAAAACAGAACTATAAAAAGTTAAGCATTCTTCCGGCGTTCCTTTGAAACACTTTAAAATGCGATTTAGAATAAGGGTTTCTAAGGAAGACATTATTTCCGTATGATTTATGAATTGTTCTGTTGAGGAGGTAGTTTTTTTGTGTTTCAAAAATGTTATGAATAAGACATTAAATAATACCCCTGAGAAGAAGAAGAATTTGATTTCTATAAATTTGTTATTTAATTCAACTACCTATATTGATGTCACATTCTAGATCGTTAAGTATTTTCAAATCTTTTTTCAAAAATTATGTTGGATTCTTTATGTGAATTTATGCGAATTTCGTTTAAAACGCATATTAAATTTTCAATACGTTCAATTGCCTCCGATTAATCAGAATTAACGAGTATACTTTGTAATTGGTTACAAAGAAGAAGTATGAGTGATCATTCTTTTTCAAATATTTTTAAAGAAACAAAAAATTTACCATTCAAATAAATCGTAAGAGTTAATGAGCCGTAGTTGATGATTTTTATTCATCGATTTTTCTAAGTCTTCTAACAATTGGAATAATCATTTCTTTAAATCTTTTATACTGTTAAGTTTTATAACCTATCGAATTGCACAAATTAATCACATTAAAATTGTTCGATAGTATAGTTTGTGCTTGTATAAATTTGTTCAAACTTCAGTTTGCCGAGCTGAACCCCGAAAAAAGTGCAAACACTCGAAGTACTTCTAATGCAATTTTCAATCGCAGTTCTTTTACACACATCGCTAATCGCTAAATTTAATGAAAGCGTTCCTGAAGTCGATGTCAATGTGTGAGAATATCAATCGTCGGATGTGTATAATAGAGGTGGCCAAATGGTCGATCGCGGATGATTTCAAAGTCGATCATGTTAGAATTTTATTTTTAGGCCACGGGCACTTCAACAATGCCCAGATCATCAAAATAAATATTAATATGTCAATTAGATTTAAGTATTTAGATTTTAGAAATTATTGTATTATTTTTAGTAATTAGTAATTAGTTTATAATACTTTATATATGTTTATATACACTTTAAGCAGGTATGTTTCTTAATAATTATAATTATTTAATAATAAAAATATTTTTCCAAGAAAGTCGATCTTCAAAGGTGAAGTATATTTTTAGTAGATCGTGGCCGAAAAAAGTTTGGCCGCCTCTGGTGTATAACAATACGAAATACGAATATAAATATTTAGGTGTAGTGACATTTGTACTTGGTAATTTGGACTTAGGGGCATTTTAGGACGTCAAAAAAATAAAAATATCCAATAATAAAATACTGAAATTAATGTTAACTATACATAAAACAAATATGATAAAGTATTCTGTCAAATGAAGGGTTTTGACAAATGCGATAAACGGTGAACGATGCGACATTATACGATATATTCGTAGTATACGATTCGATGTAATACCAATAGCATATACAAGGAGGTGATGTGGGGGTTAGACCCTCCCCACCTAGGCCTTTTTTTAAATGTTATAATCTTTTTAATGCGAGGGCGTTAGAAATGTAAAAAAAAAAATGATGATAAAACAAAAATAATGATTTGTTTGCAAATGATCCCCCCCCTGTACAGAAGTAATATATACGTCATTGTGTAATACTATATTTGTTTTTTAACGTCCAAATGACCACGTTCAAATTAGGGATTGGAAATATAATTCAGTTTTTCAAATCGATTCTCCTAATTCGATATAGTTAATTGAATCGACTCAATGATTCACTTCGAATCATTTAAATATAATTTTAATTCAATTGAAATCCTTGTCTTACTGATAATAATACCTACTGATTTAGATTGTTTGCGTGTACACAAGATATATCTTCTATCAAATTTTCTAACGATTTATTTTAAATGTATACATTTTATAAACTTATAAATGTAGGCTCGGTGGTGTATTTAACAGAGGCCTCCAAGGTTGTTAAATCTTCTTGGATTTTTGGTTCTGTAAAATAATCAACGTTACTACCAATTCATTCTTCAACGTTAAATCAACTCAATCGGTTCTAACTGTATCGAATCATTCGTAAATCGCGAACGCACATTCACGTTCGCGGATCTTAACATGGTACGTGATGAGTCGTCGTACACCCCGTCCCCGTCCGCGTGCTACGGTCGCGAAGTGTGTTTAAAATATAATTACGCGCGTTCTCGCTATGGATACGTTAACTTTCCGAACACGTTTAACAATAATAACGACTGTTGTCCACAAACCGATGCTGTAACGTTTCCCGGCGGAGTTTAAGATTTTCGTGTAACGGCAAAGACCCAATTAGTTTCAAAAAATGCCTGAGAAGTAAACCAATATGTAATATGTTCGGGACGTTGAGAAATTAGACCAGTTGCGGTGGATTGTTCGTTATTGTTGTTACGCATGCTGTAGACGGGTGGTACGCGTTGAATAATAGTTATTCACAAGACCCTTGACGTAAACGAAATTTCAAATTTTTAATTGGTTTCGTTTTTTTTTTTTTCTTTTCCACAGCCTACCGGAAAAAAGAATCCTTTTGTTTCTCATGACGCGCGTACCGAAGTTACGAAACGGTATATTTCTCTCTCCGCACGCGCATACCTTAGCGTGCCAGCGTTTCCTGCCTCTCTTTGTCCACGCGCGCATTTCTCCCACTCCGCGCGAACGAAACGCGCGCGCCCTTCGATCGACACCACGTTGTATCGTCTTGATAAAATTATGTCAACGCGCGGCAATGTCCGCGAGAAAAGCGCACCGACGGATCGCCACAGACGCGACTAGCGTAATGTATAATATATAAGGCGGCCGGTTCGACACGCCGAAACGTTGCCAAGATGAAGCCGATGGTTTACCGAAGTTGTACCGATCGATTAAAATTGAGTTCCGTTGTGCGCGCGTACAGGTGAAAGCGATTTTCAACATTTTTTCGTTACCGACGCGTACGCTGATACATACCGTATTTACGAGGGATCGTTATAATACGATGCACAATCGGAATACGCCGTGGGCTGCGTGGCGCACGGCAGTCGTTTCGTGTTCACTCTCCGGTCGGTCGGTTGCACCGCATTAACAACGCACGTGGGCGTCTCATTCGTGGCGTATGTAGGTACGTAGTCCGTCGACCGCGGGTCCGCTTACACCGAACCGTAACCGTAGCGGTGCGGTCGATATTCCGTTTCGAAAACCTAATTTTGAAAAATCGTCGTCACCGTTTCGCGGCAGATTACGCTGAGCGATCGTCGTCGACTAATCAAAACTTCGATCACGTCATAGATACATCATCCCGTTCCCGTGCATGTGCGTGGCCGTGCGCATACGGTATATTTACGACAATCGGCGCAACGGGGGGGGTTGCGCAGAAGGCACCCCCGAAAATATTAAGTCGCGCCTGTACGCACACGACGTGTACGTGTAAAAAATGTTTGTTCCGGACGTAGCGTATTGAATAGGACGCGGAGTCGGCCCGGTGGTGAGCGCGTGCTACTTGCTAACCGCGCGGCGAAGCAATCAACGGAAAAAAAAAAAAAAGAGAGCACTCGTAACCCGGGGTCATAATATTGGATCGTGAGTTGCGGAATCGGTGCACCGCTCGGGAAAAATGAGAGACAATAATCTGCGGCGGGGCATGAGTGTAAGGTGTACGTGCGCGCGTATTGATTGCACTCGAACGGATATTATGTTGTCGGCGGTGGAAACCGAACGAAAAGAAATTTACGTGAAAGTTTCGATACTACTAGAAATTGACGGGCGGGCGCGGCGGGTGGGGTGTGGGCTAGAGGACGAAGCGCCAAGAGCTCTCCGTGCTCGTGAATAGAACTGTGTATAGTGGTTGTACCGTTGTAAAACGTATCGAAAGCCGGATGATCTGAACAAACAGTACACATATGTGCGTGCTTGTGTGTAAAACCGCGTCGCGAGGGAAATGATAATAACGGAAACAATAACAGTTACATAACGTTTCGTGAAATCAGGATCGGTGCGCGTCTTAAAGTTATTCGCGCTATTCAGCGGTGTGCTCACGGGCGCGCGGGGAGGTGGACCGGGGAGGAAGTCGCTATTGTGTGCGGACGGATTTACCGAGCCTCGGGGAACATCTGCGCATGACGAATCGTTAGAAGTCGTAAAATCCGACCGTGTGATTTTATTTGGTTCACGTGTACTTTGATGTTTATCTCTTGTCCAACACGGAGCGATCGTTGAAAACGTTACTGTCGCGTACAGCGTAACACGTGGCAATCGGCTCGTCCGCGAACCGTAAGGATCTCCATGGCCAACAGACCTAACATTTGTATCGCGCTCCCGGATCGTAGTGTTGTTAATAACTTATCGGCGTGAGAAAACCGAAATAGTTGAACGCGTCTTGAATACGACGCGAAACAATCACTAGGTTTTAAGTCCACCGGCACTGCATGCACCCGTCCCTCGCCGACCGTCCGAAATGGTTCCGCGGAAAATGACGTTTCATACGCGTTTGCGTTTTTTTTTTTTTTTTTTTTTCCATCCGCAGGTGGTGAAACGGATCGACCTGTCGGGTCTGGCGTGCCCGGCCAGCCGGCTCGGTTACATCGCGGCCGACTACGGGGACGACGGGCGAGCTTTCGTGTACGTGTCGGACGCGGCCACCCGGGCGGTGATCGTGTGGGACGTGGCGGCCGACTGCGGTTACCGGGCGGTGCTGCCCGAGGCCGTGGCCCGCGACCGCACAGGGCCCGGGGACGCGATGTACGTGGCGCTGGCGCGACCGTCGACGGGCAAGAACGTGCTGTACCTGACGTACCTGACCAGCGACCGGATGTACGCGATCGACACGCGCCACTTGCGGCGGGAACGTCAGCGCGGCAACGTGACCGTAGTGGGCCGCAAGCCCGACAACGTGGTGCTGCTGGGCACGGACGGCCGGACCACGTTGTACTTCCGGTACGGCGGCCGGGGCGACGTGTACGCGTGGGACACGGACCGCGGCGGCTTCGGCCCCGACCGGTTCGCGCTGGTCCGGAAATCCGACGGCCGCGGCCGGCTGGCCACGCAAGTGGCGCCAGGCCACCGGGGCGGCGTGCCGTGGCTGCTGGAGAGCAACTTTCCAGATTACGTTTCCGGCACGGTCGGTTGCCTGGGCGCCGACGTCCGCTTGCAGCCCCTCGTCGAACAACGTCGGTGAACCAACGACACATGAACCGCTGTTGGCCGCGCGCAAATTGGAACCGCGCGTCGCGTTACGGTTTTCCTCTGGCTGTACGCACCCTTCGTCGAACGTTTCACGCTTTACCGCGCGTTGACATTTATCGGAACAACGTTATGCTATGTAACAATTATAAACATACACGTATATTTATAATAAATGCGCTATTTCTGAAGACTGACGACGGGAGCGGGATTTTCCAAAAAGCCGTTCGTACGGTGAATTCGAATCGGGACTCCGTGTTGTGCAGTCGAATTCGAAATGTATAGTTAAAACGTACTAGTGATGGGCGATTCTTGAAGTTAATCGATCTTTTGAATCTGTTTAAATCTGAATGATTAGATCGATCAAAAAAAAAAAAAAAAAAAGACCAATCCACTTTAAATGCTGTTTTTATTTTTAAATCAATACATGACACTTCTTACTGATTTGCTAGTGATCTAGATTATATGAAAATATGAAATGTGTAGTAATTTTTAGTGATTCTTGTAAGCGAATCGATTTTAATCAGAATGAATAGTTCGTGATAAAAGCAAATGGTAGTGTCAGCATTATGAAAATATCAGAAATTGGATCAACGATGATTCGATTCCCATACAATGTCGTATCAACGATTTGAATCGATATTTACAAAAATGATTAGATCTCTTAAAACAGCGGTTTAAATTAGAGGGACGCGCTCCCTTAGAGGCGTGTGATTGAATTTCAGGGGAGGCATGAAAATGTTTAAAATGCAACGAAACATGAAAACGTTATTTTTTATTACAATAAAACCCCATTAAGATGCTCCCTCTTAATACGTGCATTTTTTCCGATGCCTAGTACATGTAGGTCTTTTAGCATTGAAAAAACACGCTTAAAAGGCTCCCGCTTAATACGCAACCCCGCATAATCCGCTCTATTTTCTGGACACTCAGACCTTTTATACATTGAAAAATACCCTATTAATACATCGATAATAAACAATCAATATCTTCATTGAGACAGGCACTTATTTCGATTGATAACTTCGAAAATATGCTTTTATACTTGGGTTGGATGGAAGCGTTATTATTAAATTATTATAGAACAAACTCATTGTAATAACAAACTATTACCACATACATAGTATACCTAATACAAAACCATTACCTCTATTTTTCAAAAAATAATACATAGTATAAATATTATAACTTAACTTAATTTGTATATTTAATGTATATAATACAATATAACAACCTTGTAAATTCTAAATATGTATCATTTTATATTTATATATTCATTTTTATGTTCATTATATGTAATAAATAAAATGTAATACCATTAATTATTATATCTAATTTATTTTGTCTAGTATCCCGTTTAAAATGCTTTAAAAATGTATCAAACGGGATCCCACATAGCACGCGCAAAGAGCGTATTATGCTGGATACCACCTGGGTTATCATACGCGGTTTTACGACTTCCCCTTCGAGAGCGGCTATAGGTGAGTTGCGGCCCGAAATGTCATTAACGTGTTGGAAACTGGTGAATTGTTGCCCGGTCATGTTTTATCACTAATTACGGCCCGGGGTTAATTCGCCATTCCATGTCCATTGGTTTAACGTGCTCTCCTACTGAAGTTGTTTTTAAATTTTGAACAAGCTATCCACAGTGCTGTGGCAGAAGTCTTCCCTAATGCAAAAATAAGAGGATGTCGATTTCACTTAGGGCAAAGTTGGTGGAGGAAAATTCAAAGTTTTGGACTCACGAAAATGTATAACACAAATACAGATAAAAGTTATTATTTCAAATTTTTTTTTTAATTTGCCATTTTTGGGTTCTGACAACGTCATTGATTGTTTCAAGGATGAATTTTTAGCAATACGGCTTGCTAAAGATGATCGGGTTGTACAATTTACCGACTATGTTTTTCGAAAACTATATATCCCCGGACGCCATGTGTCCCCCAAATTCATCGTTCTACTTTAGTCATCCTAATATCTATAATTTTATTGATGTGTTAGTAGAAATGCAATCAAAAACGTATATCAAATGTAGAAGCAATGGAATAAAAACGAAGAAAATATGTGAAAAAGAAGCATTTATAAAACAACAGATGACAAAGTTAGCACAAAAAGAAATATAACGGTTTCATTTCGTTTGATCGTTAAGTTTTAAGCTTTTGCTCAATCAATAATCTAAAAAAATTAATTTTACCATAAATTACTATACATTTCGCCATTTTACATAAATATTAATAAAAAGTAAAAAAAAAAAAAATTTTTGGGTGACGAATCAGCCAACCTCCTTGTGATGTCTTCTGAGTAACGCTGATAAGCTGATATGAAGTGATAAATAAAATGTGGACGCACCTCGTACGTCTGTTTTATAAATACTGTCCGCAACTCGTACTTAATTTAGAGATTGTGCCGCAACTCACCAACACCGTTGAGAGCGTCTTAACGAGGTAATACTGTATTTATATTTAATCGAGACATTAAGTCACAATTGGAACTGACCAGTGCCAACCCTCTCATTCATTTTTATCTACTTAATAATAAATTAAAAACATAGTATTTAAGTAAGTGAATATAACATAATATAATTTTATAATTATAATATTTTAAAATTAAAATAATATTTTTTTCCTAAAAAAGTACATTTATTAAATATTCAAAACAACTTCATTGATTTTCATATTAACATTTATCCAATAACCAATAATGAAGGATTTAAATCGCTAAAAATTAGACCGAATCTGTAGGATTAATATCCAAGCAGGAGATCGGCTGCTTGAAAAAGTGGAATATTTTAAATAATTAAGCAGCTCAATTAACCAAGTCGGTGGCATCATGGAAATAAGATGTAGAATTGCACAGGTAAATTAAGTTTTCTTGAACAAGAAAAATAACGTATGCTTCAACAGTATGGGTATGAGTATTTGGGTGAGGAAACGCTTCATAAAATTATATGTATGGAATGTGGTGCTATACGACTGCCTAAACCTATATACTGAATAAGGCACAATGAAAGCTCCGAGTTGTGGTGCCGGAGAATAATGTTGCAAGTGAGTTGGGTAGAACCAACGGAAGCACAATAAGTGGAATAAATGAACGCGGAGAATGAACTCAGACGATGGAACATAATTGGTCATATATCGAGGCACTAAAAGGAAATCGTTTATAGAAAAATAGAAGGTAAATTTCGAAGGTAAAAGAGACCAAGGACGTCCGAGAACTGCATTTGTCGGCATTGATGCCGGACTGTCAAGCTGAAAACGGGGAAGAGCGGAGAGGGCGTGTCCGACAACAAAACCAACCAGCGTAGGGTGGAATACAAGAAGAATACAAGAATACAAGAATATGTGGACATGTTGCGTTGAGCGTAAACAGTTAAACATGATCATGGTGATCGGGACATTATAAGAAAGGGAGCGTTTAGACCGTTGTTTTGAAAGATTGGACGGGCGGAGATCGGTTCGAATCGTCCACCACCAGTACGTGTGCACGCGCGCAACCGTTGAGCGTTTCGTCGATTGTTTTACCACCCCCGACTTTGTACGCAGTCGTGCCGCGTTGTGCTGCGTTTTGCCGAGATCTCGCAACGGGTCGCGTCGGTTGGAGCGCGGATCGCGTACGGGCGCGGAGTGCGTTTCGATCGTACCGCGAAACAGAACGTTGTTGGTACGCGAAAAACGAACGTACCGCATAACGTCACCGCGCCCCCGAGGCGTTCGGTACGCGCGGCGCACACGGGCGGCGTACGTTTTGTTGTGCCGCCGTCGGCAAATACCGGACCGCGGAGCGTTGAATACGTCCGCGGAGCACGCGGTACCGGTACCGGTCGGGCGCGCGCGTTTATAAGTAAACGAAAAACAAATTAATTATTGATTTGCCCGTGGACGAAATGGGTTGCGGAGCCGCGCGCGTAAGGTCGGAAAACGGGAGGAGCGGCACGACGACAGTTCATTGCCGAACCCGACGCACGTGTACCACGGCTACGGCTGTTACACACCGATGCGGTGCACCACGTTCGCTTTTTGGTCGTCTCGCCCGTTTCTCGGTGCGCGAGCTCGCGTCGTTTTGCAATCGCGGTTTTTTTTTTCTCCCCCTCCCCCTCCCCCGTTTCGACGCAACCCCCGATCGGCGCAATGGGGGCGGGCGTGGGTCGCGCGCGAAGAGTCGTGCGGTTCGCGTCGGCGGCGGTGGCAAAGTCGCCGAAGTCGTTGCGCAGCTCGTCGGGCGGCGCACACGTGCCCCATATACCGTTTTATACGACCGAAGCTCCTCGGGCAAGCTGCGCGTGTGTACGAATCCGTAAGTTACGACCGTAACAGTTTTCAACGGGAAGGCAACGGCGAGGAGCCGTGCAGATCGCCTTGGACCACACACGTATCGTGTGCGTTCAGAAATTCCATACGACCCATATAAATGAACAACGACAACAACAACGATTGACGAAAGCGCTCTATTGGATTCGCACGCGTTCGTCAACGGCCGGTACTCCTTTCGCCCAAAAATGACCTTCCTCTTTTCGACCAAAAATGAAAAAAAACAGTTTCCTCTTTTCGCCCATGGTTTCACGTTTTACATCTTGGAAACCACTGTCTCAAAATTAATAATTTTTAAAAAAATCATATAATAATCAAATAAAAAAATAGAAAAATATATAATTATTAATAATAATTAATAACAATTTAATAAGTGTTAAAAATAAGTATTTAAAATAGTGTTATCGACGTAATATAACTAATAAGTAATTTGATCAGGTTACTACTTAAATAAATAGTGTGTTTTGTAAAAACAAATATTCATATTAATTATGATTTTTTAGTAATTATAACGTTTGTTAAAGTGTTTTAAACTATATATTTCGATAGAAGAGTCGGCACCTTTATACACTTTTCTCGACTGACTATATTAATAACAATAAAAAACGTGATTTTATCGAATATCAAATATGATTTTTTAAAAATTATTAATTTTGAGAAAGTGGTTTCCAAAATGTAAAACGTGAAACCATGGGCGAAAAGAATACAATTATTTTTGGGCGAAGAGAGGAGACTGTTTTTTCATTTTTGGTCTAAAAGAGGACGTGGGCAAAAAGAGGAAGGTCATTTTTGGGCGAAAAGAGTTCCGCCCTCGTCAACAATCATTCATTCGTCCGTTTACCATTCGTTGTTTATCCGTCCGCGTTCGTTTTGTTCCCTCGGCCGTCCCCCCCCCCCACGGCCCAGGAAACGGACCGCGTCGCCCGACAATTATCGTAATTGCCACCGGTGGACACGTTTTATTCGAATCACGCAGGCCCGCCGCTCGACGCGCACGTGCACATTGACTCGACGGCGTGTTTTATTTGGTTTCCGTTTTTTCGGGTCAGTCGATTTTAATTGCACCCTATCGGTACGCAAAGCAGTGCGCCGTTCGCAAAATAATACCGTAACCACTGCGCGTGCAGCAGCATTGTCCGCAAACAATCGGTTGGACGTTTGTACAGCGGTCGGGTTTTTATTTTTTATTTTTATTTTATTCCCCCCCCCCTTCCAGTCGACGAATGACCACTGCAACGGTACACCAACGTTGAGCGGACACCACTCGACGCGTGGGCGTACTGTCGAATCGGTCGTTCTACTAACCGAACCGTCGAAGGATCATGCGATTTTTGCTATCCGCTTGGCCAAATATCTCTATTACGGGCCACTAGACGAACAAAAATAATAAAAAAAAAAAAAACCCTCAAATTTCTTGTGATTTTTTTTTTTTACTTTTATTTACTGTCGGTGGCCGCTGAGTTTATCGATTCATTTCTTACCGTCACGCGTATAAAACAATCCCTTGGATTAAAAGTGCGTTTTATTACAGTATACCATTTTCTGTAAAATGCGTATTCGGAAAATGTTTGCAATTATTATTATTATTTTGTTAATAAAATGCTAAAATGCCGTAAGAGCCAATCGGGATTTTCGCTCTACCTAATATTCGGTCACACGTTTTGCAAAATCAACTACATATGATGTAATCTGATCACTATACAATAATGAACTTCAATGCATCGTATAAGATATAGTTTGGGAATATACTTAATATCAAACATTTCTACGTCTTCGTTTCTATATAGTGCCACAATATTTGAATAGTTTCAGAAGTTCCGCAAAAAATGTGTGTTTC